ATGACCACCTGACGGATGTAGGAGGACAGAGGGGCGGCTGTCAACAACTCTCGCAGCGAAAGGGTGCGTGCTTTCTACTCAACAAGAAAGAAGCTTCAAGTGAGATTGATCCAAGTGAATGCCGATGAAGAGAGGAATGGTGGACAAGCAGGGAGAGTCTATGGTTGCCAGCTATAGGTACCTGGGGGTATCCAATCCGGGCTTACATATGTTAGGGAGCAATGAGTGTGATGTTTCCTATCAGTACGGCACCCGGGCCTCATTCCAGTATATCAGAAGGATTCCTGCACTCTATATTCTCAGGCCTAAGAAGAATCTTAGGCAGCTGGAATCTTGTCAACCCTCTTCTCAGAATTAATGAAGCGTGGATGGATGAATGTGCTGCCAGATTACAACCCCTGGTAGATCAATATAAAAACCCAGACAACACCAAACTTTCGCAATAGAAAAAATTCCGAGATTTGATCGTAACAACCCGATCATGTCCTGGGGACAAAAAAAAATCTCTTTTAAAAAGTTTATTTTGTCCATTTCAATACACCACAGATATGTTAACATCAGTGCTTAGGATTCATTTAATTTTGATGCGGATCCTGGATCCTGGATCCGCACTGGAAAAAATTGGATCCGGATCCAGGTCATTTCTTTAAGATTTACTGAATTTTTTTTAACAAAAAATAATTTTCAAATTTTTTGTTTTATGTTTGTTTGCTTATTTTCATCCTAAAACTTGATTAAACCATTCAGAAATGAGGAAATTTTTATTATCTCTCTTTTTTTCAAAAGTTCAGATTTGGGTTTTAGGAGTAAAAAAGATTTTTTTTCAGTTTTTGATTGATATTTTAACCCTTGGATCCAGATCCGTGGATTCGCATATTTTTGCGGATCCGGATTCTAAGCACTGGTTAACAATCTATATATAAATTTGGCTTGGGTGTCTGTTTGTTTGTTTGTCTGTTTGTATCCAATAAACGTCAAAACGGCTAAACCGATCGGGCCCAAATTTTTTGTGGGACATCTAGGGACTCCAGGGAAGGTTTATGAATCATCAAAATTTCAAATATTTGTCTCCATCAAAATTCGATCGTCATCAAATTTTTAAAAATTTTGAAAATCCGCGAAATTTTTTGTAAAAATCCGCGAATTATTTTTGTTTTGTTTTACGATGTACACAAAGAGAACATGTTCACAATTAATTTAGAAGATGGGCGCGAAGCGCCCTCTAAGGCTAGAAAGAAGGTCCGCCTTGAATTTCTAGTCTATATATAAATTTGGCTTGTCTGTCTGTTTGTATCCAATAAACGTCAAAACGGCTGAACCGATCGGGCCCAAATTTTTTGTGGGACATCTAGGGACCCCAGGGAAGGTTTATGAATGATTGAAATTTTAAATATTTGTCTCCATCAAAATTCGATCGTCATTAAATTTTTTTTAAATTTTGAAAATCCACGAAATTTTTTGTGAAAATCCGCGAATTATTTTTGTTTTGTTTTACGATGTACACAAAAAGAACATGTTCACAATTAATTCAGAAGATGGGCGCGAAGCGCCCTCTAAGGCTAGAAAGAAGGGCGCGAAGCGCCTTGAATTTCTAGTATTTTAAACTTTCGTTAGTTTTGGCCCCTTAATAATAAACTCTATTTATATATGGGGTTTCCATTTTTTAAAAGTTAATTTTTTTTTGAACTCCAGGCAGTCAAACTTGGTTGGAGCAGTGTTAAACGTGAATACTGGAGACTGGGTGAGACGGGAGTCAGGAGTTGGAGCTGGAATAGATTCATACTATGAGTATGTAGCAAAGGCCTATGTGCTGTTGGGAGAGGATAAATACCTGGATAGATGGAACACTCATTACTCAGCTGTTATGAAATACATGAACAATGGTAAGATATTTATTGGTGTCTCTCTGTACCCCTAGTACCCCCCCTCAAATAATTTTAGAATTCTTAATAAGAACACGAAGTCCAAACAAGTTCTATGAAAATTAATTTTCAGGTCCTTTGATGGTAGACGTCCATATGCACAGACCTACAACAAATTCAAAACATTTTGTTGATGCCCTGGGAGCATTTCTACCAGGACTACAGGTAAACTTCTTTTCTTATCCGAGCATTTATAAAAGTCGTCTTTATTTGCTTATTTTATTGTCTAATCTAACAAAAAGAAAACTTGAAAATATATCCTTTGGGAGGGACTAACTCTGTCAGAGCAACATAAAACTTAAACCAACCTTAAAATATAAGTTTTCCAGCAAAGGTGAAAAGTGAAAGTTTTTATCAGACTTTTTGTTTCTTTTTTTTTTCCCCCTATGTTTTTGTATAATGTCTAAACACAAAAGTAACAACAAAAAATCTAAAAATTGAAACCAATAATAACCTTAAAATAATTGATAATTTTTTAAGGTTCTTATGGGTGATTTGAAGCCTGCAATAGAACAGCATGAAATTCTCTACCAAGTTACAAAAAAGCACAATTTTCTTCCAGAGGCCATTACAGCAGATTTTCAGGTTAACAAATTTATCATTATCATTTTAAGCAAGTGCATCTTTTTCCATGACATATTCTTTCTATATTCAAGAATTAAAGTTATTCTCTCAGTTAATTTTTGTTAAAAGGTCAATTTTGTTGTGTCTAAATATTTACAGTTTGATTGATTACTGTTTGCCCGTGTCAAATTTCACAATTTTTCTGCTCCAGCTAATACGTCTTAACTTGTTTCCAAGTATTTTGTATAATAATAGGATTTTGGATGACGCATAACATACTTTCAGGGAATATGTTTAGCTATGCTATACACTTTGAACTGTGTACTTTAAAAGACTGTTAAATGATTTTTGAGCGTTTACCTCTTGTTTCACCAGATTAACTTTATCGGAGAAGGAAAGTGAGAAAAGTTATGAATACAATTTTGCTTAAAAGGACTGTTAGTGTAATTTCAAGTGACCCTCCATGCAAAGATGGCAATAACTGATTTACAAAGGTACCCTTAAAACCTTAATCTGATCAAAAATGTAGACGAAACTGTCGTTTTCCTGACTCGAAAGGTGTTTATTTTTGTGAGTTTCTCATGTACTTCTTATAGAATTGAAATGCGCAAGTCACTAACGAAAAGAAACCGCAAATGAAAATAAACCGTTTAAAGAAACAAAAACATGGTTCAGAAAAAGGTTTTAAACGTACAGTTGGAAATCAGGCATATAAGTACAACATGTCCAGGTGCATTGGGGACAGCACTTTCTTCGCCCTGAATTTGTGGAGTCTACTTATTTTCTCTACAAGGCTACAAAAGATCCTCACTACCTTCAGGTATTTAATTTATATAGTCTTTTACTACCTTTTATTACATCAAATAATTACTCTACAGGAAAGGTGTGAAACTTTTTGATGAATAGGTTTCCAATATATCTCTTAGAAAGGTGAGATGAAAAGCCCAGACCTCCTCGGCTGTTGGTATAATCTGGTCTGGAGGGAGCAGGAACCCATTGGTCCCAGTATCTCGTAGCTCCATGCTCATGGAGAACTTAATACCCGCTTCTCCATATGCCCAGTCTACCGAGTTTCCGCTAGCTATGTATAGCATGCAAGGTATACATCCAACCTCATAGGTTTCCCCATGAACTTCTGCCAGTGCTTGGGCAGCCTTTACAGAGTATAGATATTGTTCTTCATAGTCTACAGGAAGGTCCTCTGTATATCCCCAGGGTAGAAGAACTAGTTGGCTATAACTGTGAATTGTATTGTAAAACACCCAGTCACCTTTTCGTTTCATCACATAGTTGCGTACATTAACATTCTCTATCTCAGAGAAAGCTGCTGGTCCCAAGTAGAGATCACTGCACTCGTCATGACGACTTCCACCCTCGTCCCAGTGAAATCCCCAATTTCTGTTAGCATCCACTCCCATGCAGCCTTCACTGGAGTTTAGGTCAGACCTTGTCTTCCTCCACATTCGATTTGAAGTTCTTGAGAAAGCATATCCATCAGGGTTGTGGCTTGGAAGAAAATACCAGTCAAGGCCTTCAGTAAGGTCTGGATGATCTTGATCATTTTCAACTAACTCTCTGAGCATCCATGTAACTGTAGCAGGAGAAATCCATTCCCGGGCATGGATTCCTCCGTCTATCCAAACAGAAGGCTTGTTTCCACAACCACCTTTGCATACCTTTGCCACCCTCATATCAACCCCTTCGAAAGAAGTTCCAATTGATTCTGTTGTCACAAAACTATAGTTCAACGCAAGATAGTCAAGGAAGGAATAGATGACATCTAAGTCATGGTATTCTGTCCATGTCATATTATGAGCCTCTGAAGCATCATTTACAGATTTTGCTGGTATCCTTTCTAGCTCTATCAGCCTCTGAATATCCTGAATAAGGATCTCAAATTGTATTCCTTCTTTGACAAAGTTGTTCTCTATTTCTTCTGCATAGGTTGGCGGTACCATAATATCCACTGGTTTACTTAAGATTACTTCTGTCCAGAAATCATAGATAGGTTGATTCATCATCCCTCTGATTCTCTCAACATCAGCCATATGTTGAGGCAGTGCTCTGATCACCTTGAATCCTCTGAATGATCTGTTTGTGAGGAGAGTAGCATCAGGAACTCCAGCTATTACTGTTATCCATCCCAACACTAGGATTATTTGTTGCATCTTTGACTGGATTTTCCCATATGAGATTCTGATAATTGTTTTCTTATCTTTCATTTTTTATCTTGCTAAACTAATATAACATGTTATTTATGTTTTTTAATTTTTCAAGGGTAAACCCGAAAATAAACAAAAAGTACAAGAGTATACTACTGATGTTGTACATTTAACATGTTTTTGAAACCTTATAATCTAATGTAAATGGAGGTTTCTTAAAGGTCGTTTTAAATAAGGTTGGTGGCCCCTTTAATTTCTTTAAAAAATTTAACCCCAAAAAATCCCATGAATCCGATCTGTCTCTTAACCCCCTCAAGCTTCCTAAGTCCCATTTTTTTTTATTAAATCTACTAATTTTAACTCTTTCAGTTCCTTTAATCCTTTCAATCTTTTTTAACCTATTAAATCCCTAAAAAAAATTTAATTGCTTTATTCAAAGGGTTGAAATGGTCAACAGCAGCCCCCACAACCCTTCTAATTAATTCCTGTTATCTTTTTAATTTCTTTAACCCTCTAATTCGTTTAATTCCTTTAATTCTTTTTGTTTTCCTTCTTTCTAAAAAACATAAAACCCCTCTACTCACATCAATCCCTTTATTCCCTTTATTCCCTTTAGTCCCTTTAATCATATAAGTCCCTCTAGTCCCTTTTATCTTTTTAGTTCCTTTAATCTTATTTCCTTTAATCCCTTAAGTTCCTTTCATCCTCTATGTCCCTTAAATCCCGTAAGTCCTTATAGTCCCTTTAATTTCTCTAGTTCCTTTAGTTCCTTTAATCTCTCAAGTTCCTTTAATCCCGTAAGTCCTTATAATCCCTTTAATTTCTCTAGTCCCTTTAGTTCCTTTAATCTCTCAAATTCCTTTAATCCCTTAAGCTCCTTTAATCTCTTAAGTTCCTTTAATCCTTTTAGTTCCTTTAATCCTTTTAATTTCTTTGTTCCTTTCATCCTGTAGGTTCCTTTAATCCCGTAAGTCCTTATAATCTCTTTAGTTTCTCTAATCCCCTTAGTTCCTATATTCCTTTTAGTTCCTATAATCTTTGTAGTTTCTCTAATCCCTTAAATTGTTCCAGGTTGGGAAGAAAGTTTTAAAAGCATTACAAACACATGCTCGAGTCACATGTGGATACGCAGCTGTAAAGGTAAAAATATCATATTTATTAAGGGATTAGAATTTATCATTTTCTTAAAGTTTGGAAGAAAAAAATTAAAGGGATTGTAAGCGTAATTTCAAAAGACCCTCGATATTAAGACCTTTTCACAACGGTACCCTTGAAACCTTCATCTTTTCAACAATTTGTAAGATATTGTCGTTTTTCTAGTTGAAAAAGCGTTGAAATCTGATAATTCTTTTAATTTTTATCTTAATAAAATAACTTAAAAATGAAATTTTATTAAATTTTGTAGGACGTGAGAACAATGACCCACGAGGATAGGTTGGATAGTTTTGTTCTCTCGGAAACTTTTAAATATCTCTATCTTCTCTTTGCCAAGGTAAGATTTTATGGGACTGTTCATCAATAATCTATTCTCTTCTGCAGATCGAGAGACTTCAGAGAACTCGTGAATAATCATGAACAATCCCAGTAGAGTCTTGTATGATAGCTTTTTAATAGTCATAATCTTTTCTTCTATTAATATTATTATTATTTTTATCATCCCTTTTATCATTGTAATCATTATTGTAAGTATTATTATTATACTAATTATCATCATTGTATACATTAATGTTATCATCATTGTCATCATTGTCATCATTGTCATTTTTGTCATTATTGTCATCATTATCATCTTTGTCATCATTGTCATCATTATCATCATTATCATCATTATCATCATTATCATCATTGTCATCATTGTCATCATTGTCATCATTGTCATCATTGTCATCATTATCATCATTATCATCATTATCATCATTGTCATCATTGTCATCATTGTCATTTTTGTCATCATTGTCATTTTTGTCATCATTGTCATCATTGTCATCATTATCATCGTTGTCATCATTGTCATCATTATCATCATTATCCTTATTACTATTTTGACTGGTATTATTGCAGGAGGATGAATTGTACCTGGATATAAATCAATTTGTTTTTACAACTGAAGCTCATCTCCTCCCCTTGAGTTTAGCCAGGTAAAATAATGTCCGACAAACCCTCAGACCTGAGTATCAATGAGGACGATATGGGTGTTTTTGTCTAAATAGTGAGGAATTATGTAAATTTCCTTCATAGTCTCTGAAGCATAAATGCGCTAGTCACCTTAAGAAAACCCAGAATTGAAAATTAACAAATAGGAATGTCTCGTTCGTCTTCGGTCAGACAAAGGTGTAAAGGGTACCATTGTAAATTGGGAATGTCAGGCCAGGAAGGAACCTCTCTTTCTTTCTTTTTGCTAGTATCCAAATAACGTTGAAATAGCTGAACCGATCGGTTTTTTGCAAGGTCTGACCCCAATAAATTGAAATTAATAAATTGGCGCCAAAAAGTTAAAATTAAGTAAACAAAAACGAAAGGCTTTGCAGTTAAATGAACAACAATTACTCATATTACCACATGATAGAGAAGTCTAGTAATTGAAATCCTTTAACCTCTATAAGGGGAACAGTCCTTTAAAGGTAGTGACCGGCTAGATATGGTAGTTGAGCTGAGAGTGCAGTATTGTAAAGACATTTTTAGAATTAATTTGAGACCAATTTGACGTTTTTACAGTGTATAGTTGCTCAACAAGAGCAGAAATTCGATCGTCAAATCCTCCGGGTTTGTCCATTCTGTAATCTTAATTTTTTTAATTCATTTTTAAAATTATTCTATAATGACGACAAAAAATGTAACAAAAATTATCGACTCTCAGCTCACCTACCTTGTCTAGGCGGTCACTCCCTTTAACCCTGTATCTTGTTAGGTTATCCAACAGTACGGTGGTTCCAGTCAAGGACGAGTACCATCAGTTTCTGCCTCAAGATGAAGATGTTGAGTTTGCACTGTCTTGTCCTAGTACCAGGTATAGATTAGGGGCCCAACTAGGGAAAAACCCTTCCCCTCCACTACCTAGTAGTGGGGGGGGGGGCTGTGAATCAAACATTGATAGAAACTAGAAAGGGTAAAAATGGTGTGTAAAATTTTTAGAATTCTGGAAATACTTAATTTTTTTTATTAACTGGATATCTAATACGGAAAATGTATTTTTAGAATTGGAAAATTAGAAAAATTTCCATTTTTAGAATAAATAAAGAATTATACATATACATTAAAATATACCTGACTTTATGAGACAGCTGTGACCCTCCAGTTATAAGAATATTATTTATGATTCATATCGGTTCTCTTGAAGAAACATTTGTCTGATAATTAGCGACTAAGATATTAGTATTTTTCTAGCCGAAAATTGAGTGCTTTTGGGAACAATGTGACGTTATACACTGTAAATATTTGAGTTTTCGTGCACTTAATTGTCAGCTAGAAAAATACGGATATCTATGTTGTTGAAAAGTTTTAAGGGTATAATTATGTAGGTACATGTTCCCTGACCATTCGTGTTCTGTAACAGCAGCAACAAGCCTCAGGAATTTCATAATTGAAAAAAATTGAAAAAATAAAAAAATTGAAAAATTTAAAATATTGATAAATTTTAAAAAATTGGAAATTTTTAATTACTTGATTTGTTTTGTCATTTTGTATGGTACGAGGAATATATGTTAATTCTATTGTTACTTAGTGGTAGGATTCATTTTATTCTTCTCACAATTCTCTAAAATGCCAGACTTAATTTCTTTCGGAATTTATTCAGTTTTTTGGCTGCTTTATTTCCAGATCTTAAAATAGACATTCAAATAGTATTTTTAAGGATAGACGTCTAAATGTAACTTTCAGAATTTCACATTTTAAGAAATTTTAAAGTCTCATCCTCTGTGTTTCACTCTGATATTATTCTTCAATTCTTTGTAGTTTACATTTGTTTTTAAACACACATTAAAGTTTCATCCTCTGTGTTTCACTCTGATATTATACTTCAATTCTCTGTAGTTTCCAGTTTCATCTGTTTTTAAACACACATCTAAGTTTCATCCTCTGTGTTTCACTCTGATATTATACTTCAATTCTCTGTAGTTTCCAGCAGCTTAGTGTTCATCTGTTTTTAAACACACATTAAAGTTTCATCCTCTGTGTTTCACCCTGATATTATACTTCAATTCTCTGTAGTTTCCAGCAGCTGAGTTTCCATCTGTTTTAAAACACGAATTGCATTTTGTTAAAACATCTGTTCTAGAAATTAAACATTTGTTATCTATTAATCATGAAAAAACGGGAGTGTTCGCAAAAACTGAAAGGGGGTATGCATACTGCGAAAAAAAGCACTTTTGATCGCTACTAATATTACTTCTATCTGTTGCGTCTATAAGGAGAAAATTGTTAGTTTAGTAGCGATCTAAAGCTCTTATTTTTCGCCGTATGCCTATACCCCCTTTCAGTTTTTTGCGAACACTCCCTTTAAAGTAAACTGTTGCCGATCAAATTTCAAAATATTTAAAGCACAGTTCATATGTTTAAAGTCTATGCCTTGCATTCAACTTTTACAAAAATCTTTAAATTCTTCTTACATTCACTATGTTAGACTTTAAATCTTTGTTTGTAGGAATTTATCCTTTTCAAGTTAGAAAAACTTTAAAGGGACTGTAAAACGTGATATCACGTGATTCTCCATTTATAATTTAAAATTTAAAATAGAGAAAACTTTCAGAATTAATTACATTTTCGCAGTTAGAAAAAGAAAGACGATATCTTCCACATTATTGATCAGATTGATCTTAGAAATAGTACCATTGTTAATCAGTCTCCTCTTCAAATTAAGGGTCTTCTAAAATTTCGCCGACAAACCCTTTAAATAAAGGGTCACCTGAAATAACACCGACAGTCCCTTTAAGGAAAGTATAAATCCCTTTCTATAAATAATTATGAAAATGTTGTGTATACAGGGCTCCTCTAGGAAACGTAGTAGAGGATTCTAGTCCTAAAATAAAGATCTTCAAAAGGAAAATTATTGATCAATAAGCTGTTTTTTTATTTTTTTTTTTAATTTTTTGTATTTTTTGTATTTATTGCTTTGGGACTGGCTTAATAATTAGCAAGACAAAGTCATATTTCTTGTACTTATTGCTTACTTGAGAGATTCCTTATTCCTTTTCTTCATTCCGTATTCCGTATTCCATATTCCGTATTCCATATTCAGTATTCCGTATTCCTTACCACTTTACCACTTACTACTTATTCTTTATTTCTTATACCTTACCACTAGTTCATATTCCTTAGGCCGTATTTTTTATTACTTACTACTTATTTCTTATTCCATGTTTCTTATACCTTATTCCTTTTTTTGCTCCTGTTTCTATCAAACCAGCAAGCTAAGACGACCTAACTTGTGAGGTCGTTTGTAGTCAATGTAGGACAATGACCTCCCAGGGTCGGTATATGTCAATGACCTCCTAGGGTCGGTGTAAGTCAATGAACTCCCAGGGTCAGTGTAGGTAAATAACCTCCCATGATCGGTGCAGGTAAATGACCTCCCAGGGTTAGTTTAGTTCAATGACCTCCCAAGGTTGGTGCAGGTGAAGGACCTCCCATGGTTAGTGTAGATAATTGGCGCAGTGCAAGGGCCTCCCATAATCGGTGTTGATCAATGACCTCCCTTGATTTAAGATTGGTGCAGGTCAATGACCTCCCAGGGTCGGTGTAGGTGAAAAACCTCTCTTGGTCGGTGTAAGTTAACGACTTTCCAGGTTTGGTTTAGGTCAATGACCTTCCAGGGTTGGTGTAGGTCAATGACCTCCCAGCATCGGTATAGGTCATTGACCTCCCAGGGTCGGTGTAGGTCGATGACCTCCCATAGACGGTGTAGGTCAATGACCTCCCATAGTCGGTGTAGGTTAATGACCTCCTGCCCTACACACTGTCTGATCAAAATGTTAAGTAGAAGACTACTAGCATCTGAATTCCAATCTGGCAACCCGGAACATCTCAATCTAGTCAAGGTAAAATTATACCTAAATGAAAGGGACTGTTCAACTAATTAGAACTAAAATAAAAGGGACTGTTCAACTAATTAGAACTAAAATAAAAGGGACTGTTCAACTAATTAGAACTAAAATAAAAGGGACTGCTCAACTAATTAGAACACTAAAATAAAAGGGATTGTTCAACTAATTAGAACTAAAATAAAAGGGACTGTTCAACTAATTAAAATACTGAAATAAAGGGACTGTACATCTAATTGGAACACTGAAATAATGTATTTTCGAAAACTTATCCTTTCTCTCAAAGATTTTTCCTGCGAGTCAGAATATAATGAAATGCAATGGTTATTTTCACATTGGGTATAAATCATTTTGGTCCTCTAAAGCAGTTTTGTTTGCTAAAATGAAGCTAACAAAACAAAGATACAATTATTTAGCAATTCAAATTTTCTCTTGACCCAAAATATTAAGTAGTTATTTTACCAGGGGCTACCATTTTATTTAGAAAAACATATATATTCTATCTTAAAAAATCAAACATGATCTGAAAAAGCTCTCTTATAATATAAATAAAAATCAATAATACGTTTAACTGTCAAGGGAGGTTTAGTTAACATCTGTTTTTTCCTTTTTTTGTACAAACTAAAATAACATTATATATTTAAGTTTTAAACATGGCTTTTATTCTTAATGCTCCCCCCTCCCTTTTTAAAAGAACATTTTTTTATTTATAAAATATAAAATACACTAAAATAAAAGAAAAACGAGTTTCTGGAATAAAAAGTCACTAATTTAAAATGTTAAAATTGAGATTTTAAAACTCGAGATAACAATCTATAACTCTAAATCTTTATTTATACTTTGCTTGCTTGTTTTGGTGTTTGTTTGTTTGTTTGTAACCGATAACCGTCTAAACAGCTGAACCGATTAGGCCCAAATCTTTTACAGGACCTCTCTTGATCCCAGGGAAGGTTTATTAATGGATTATTTAGAATTGGAAAAATTTATCTTTTAATATTTTGATTTTCAAACTCCAAGAAAAATGATAAAAAAAGAAAATTAAAAGTTAAAATCAAAGATGGCGCCAAGCTCCCTTGAAGTCTAGTTCTCTTAAAGTTGAATAAATTAATTTAACTTGCATCTATTTCAGGAGATGGGAATAAATCTACAGAGTTTACCAGATGGTAGAATACAACTTCTTCATACTTTTGCTAATGCTCTCTCACAGGTTAGACTTTTTAAACTGGTTTTGGACCCATTACTTTAGTCCATGGTTTCGGGATTCCAGTTTTAACTTTTGCGGGTTTTTTTCTTACTTTTTTTCTGTTTCTTAGCTTTCAACAATATTTGAGTAAAATAATCTTGATACACAAATATGTGTTGTTTATTCGTTCAAAGAATTATGAAATTGATATAGTAGACCCAAATTTAAATATCAGTTTTAAATCAAGCTGATTGATAGATTGTTAATTGATCGAGTAATGATTATGCCGAGGAATCATTGTTGTTTAAATATGCAATAGATGATTGATTGGTTGGTGGATTGATTGATTGATGGATTGATTGATTGATTGATTGGTGGATTGATTAATTGATTGATTGATTGATTAAGGATGATGCTGAGGAAGGATTGTTGTTCATGCAAGAGATGATTGATTTGTCTAAACAGGTTCAATCACAGGACTCTCCTCCTAAACAGGTCAGATTACAGTTGTTGGAAATTTAAAACGTTTGTTTTACATATAATACTCAATGATATGAATTAAACGTGTGTGTTTTTTTGAGGGAGAGGGAGCTTTAAAAACCTTATTACAAATGTTTAACATTATTTTAGGTTTGAAGCATTAGTATACATTTTACATTTGAATTGCTTCTATGGTTTAAACGTTAGATTTCGCATTATTCTAAAACATGATTTTACGTTTAAAACAATATTGTGAAAAATTATACATTATCTTAGGTTCAAGTTTATCTTAAAGTTAAATTAGGGGTTGATGGGGGATTAATCTTTGTTAACATTTTATAACCCTTCTGAAAAATCTTTCAATTATTCTAAGTTTAAAAGATTTATTACAAACATGATCAAATTCCTAAAAATCTGACACAAATAATATCCTAGTTTAGAAAGTCTACCACAAATCTTACACCTGCGAAAAAATCCCAGATTTGAAACGTTATTTTAACTTTAAGATTTAAAGATAATTTACGTTTAAAACGATATGCTTGAAATTTCTAGGTTACATACAGTCAAGGGGCTAGCAAGATATCTCTACAAGCAGGTCCTGCTCAGTTTGGACCTTCCTTAAAACATCCAGCTAAGGTACAAATTAATTCTTTTAAGATTTTATTCAAATACCTTACACCGAGAAAAATTGTCAGTATTTGCAAAAGCATTTTTTCTCAGTTAAACCTCTTTTTAGTACAATTTCCAACCATTTTTTTAAATAACTTTTAATATACTTGCAGTCCTATTTTTAAACGATTGTTCATGTAATTATTTTGCATTTTTGGGAACTTTCTATATTCTATTTTAGGAAAATGAAGGATTATTAAAGGGATTAACGTTAAGTTTTGGGTAAAAAGTATGAATAAACATGCTTTTGAGTCGATTTTTTAATATTATTTTTTAAAACATCAATAAGGGGGGAGGGGGGTGTTTTGAAATTCTAGAAAATATATTCCCCCTGAATCCCTCTTTTGCAGGTTACTGGCCGACTGGTGCTGGCCCAGGACTCGAAGGCGTGTATCGGCAGCCTCCAGAACGGGGAGGACATGAAGGGGAACATTGTTCTCGTGGAGCGGGGAGATTGTATGTTTATAGAGAAGGCACGAGTTATCCAGGTCAGTCTCAACAAGTTTTTTTTTCGGAAATATTTCTGGAAATTTTCTAGATTTTTCTGAAATTATCAGAAATTCGATTTGCTTTAAAGGGACTGTTGTCGTAAGTGACCCTCCATCTAAAGGGAGTGGCAGGCCAGACATGATAGTTGAGCTGAGAATGCAGTAGTGTGGAGAAATATTTTAGGATTCATTTTAGGCCTATGAGACGTTTTTACGAAGTATACTTGTTCAGAGCAAGCGTGCAAATTCAATCTTTTAAATCCTCCTGGATTGTCCATTTTGAAAGGATAATTTTGATTATCAGGTTTAAATTTTTTTGATAACTACCATGTCTAGCCGGTTACTCCGATTCACAAAGGTATACTCTAAACTTTTATCTGTTTAATAATGTGGGAATATATGATGTAAGGTACTTTTTTTCAAAGGATTTTTCCCAAGTGGCAACTTCCCAAATGTGCAATTTCACAAACGGCAACTTTCCAAATATGTCTTAGCCGCAGTGCTCTGCTCCAGCCTGTTCTAGCTGCAGCGCTCTGCCCCCATTGCAGCCTGCGGCGCCTCAGAAAGCCTAATCTTACCTTTTATAAGTTGCCGCATGGGAAATTTCACATTTGGAAAATTGCCACTTGGGAAATTGTCACTTGGGAAGTCGCCCTTGGGAAATGCCTTTGGGAAAGTACATAATATCGAATATATTATCATTAATCATCTAGCTTGATAAGTGTTAAATTCTTACAATTTCGTCCATAATGATAATGATAAAATATTAATAATAATAATAATAATAATAATATGTTTAAGAGTATGGGAGGTATTGGTGGAATAGTGATGGATACTGCAGAGGGCTCTGCTGCCTCTGCATCTCCTATATTTGCTATGTCTGGAGATGGCAGTGATGATGTTTCTATTCCAATGGTTTTCCTCTTCAGCAAGGAAGCTGATGAGCTGATGAAAGTAAGATCTTACAATTAGTTTTTGGTTTTATCGGAAATCCTGGATTTTAAGTTCCAACAAAATTTATTCACCTTAATTCCATGTTCTTAAGAACAACTCATTTTTGGGAAAGTGGCTTTTGATCAGAAATAGTTTTCTAAATCCTAATGTGCAACCAAACAAGTTTGCTTTTTTCACTGTTGGGTGTAAAATGAAAACTAGTCAAGTTACGAGATCGCAATCGCTAACATTGAGTTAACGCCTCAAGTCCAAATATGAACTGAAAATGAAGACAAAGAAATTGAGTTCTGCCACAAACTCAATTGTTCTAATCCCTTTATCTGTGACCCTTTAGATATTTTAAGCATAGATTATTTTTAAAATAAGTCTACAACATTTGGATGCAGTTAAAGGAATTATGAAAATCAGAGTTTGTGGGAAAGACTCAATTCCTCTGAATCTATGAATATTACGGGGCATTAAAATTCACGTGGCGCATTTTCAGGTAAAGACTGATAATCCTGATCTTGAAGTTACACTAGAGGAGAAATCAACTTCTCAGAAGTCAGGTAAATAATAATCTTCTTATATCAATTCATTCCTCTATATCCATTAGGTATTAGTCCTTCACACCCTCGAGTGCATTTATGATCAAAGATATCCCATTAAAAGTTTAAGGTGTCTTTCCTTAATATTTCTCATATCTGATTTATTTTTATGTCTTGATTATCCAGCTCATTTTCATGTTTTGTTTATCTAGTTCATTTTCATGTCTTGTTTATCTGGTTCATTTTCATGTCTTCTTTATCTAGTTCATATTCATGTCTTGTTTATCCATTTTTTTATGTCTTGTCTTATCCTATAATTAGTCCAATTTCATGTCAAATAATTCTATTTCATGTCATTCTAAATACTTAAATCCTAAATTTTTATGTCTTGTTAATCCAGTTGAGCCAAGCAAGAACGGGGCTCATTTCAGCATTTTGAAGTACAGAATCCTCAACAAACTTTCCAAATATAACTCATGTAATTCAGCACATTAATTATCACCATTTTTATTTAGTTACGTTAACTTTATTCCTGTTTTTTGTTATATTTTTGGACCTTTTTGCTTGTTCAAAATATTTTATCCACAAAATGGGAGTACAGCTCAAATTTTGTCGTGCTTCTGTGATCTTAACAAACCTATTCTGCGGATTAACCTAGAAGGACTTAATTAATTAGTGTAACCTCGGGAAAAATTATTTAAACAAAATTATCGGGCTGAAAACCTGGACTTTGCGAGGGAATTGAAACTCCACCTCATAGGAAAAATGCCTCAAGCAATCCCTGCAAAGAATGATATATGATTTGAATTGATGCAATGGGTCATGATCTAACACAAACTTTATTTTACTTTTTAATTCATCATTAATGCTTACAATCACACCCACACAGCAATGCAATTACTTGAGAAATTACACAACTTCAAAAGCTTACATTACAGCTATTACAGGATTACCCACAATAGATTAGATTTTTATGACCTAAAACTCTTGGAATATGACGTTACAATGGTTGAACTTAAAACTTGATTTAAAAAAAACAAGATTACTGCTGCAGAGAGCCTTTGATGTAAGTAAAATGATAAAACAAACTCTGTCAAGTCATCTCTGAATTCTCATTCATTGTGGGTAGCGCTGTCAGTTCTAGTAAAAAGAAAAGCACTATAACACTAACATTTATAATGATCATAAGCTCTTGTTCTTTGTGTCAAACAATTCAGGTTTTTATTTTTTAAAGGAAAAGCATGCATGGCAAATCAGAAGTCAGATGAGATGGCTGACTTAATTTATCAAAATATGGAATCTGCAAAAATTTACTGGTTTTCCAATAATCGCTTCCAGTGCAGCTATTTACAATATTACAAGAATAAGATTATCTTGGACCCAGAATCACCATTGAGCATATTGCAAAGAGATATCAGGTTTTTAGGCATAAATTATGGTCAAATCCTGAACCCTGACTTACCAACCAGGAAATTGCATAGAGATGTTAAGCTTTTAGGCGTAAATCATGGTCCAGTCATTCGGTTAGATACACCGGACAATAGCGAACTAAGTGACATTGAAACAGATCTTGATAAACTGCGGAATGAAGTTCAGAGCAGATTTGAAGAACTAAACGAGAAGCTAATCTTGTTCAGAATAAAGCAGCGTGTTCAAGGGATAGACAATGAAGATAATTCAAAATTGGGTAAGTTGGGTATAAAGGTTGTGGATGATGTTAATAATTTGAATAAAAAAATAATCAAAATAACTGAAGTTCAACAAACAATAAAAAGTTCTGAACCACTCGCTCCAATCAAGGAAAGAAAAGAAACACTTCCAGGACGAAAATTGCTTAGTTTTGGTGATATTGAAGATCTAAATATGGACTTGACGGAAGAAGAAAATTTAGCTAATAGCATAGTAGATGATGATGAGACCAAAAAAGAAATAAACAATCAAAACTCTATGTCTGACTCGGCACTTAAAGCGGTTGAACACCCATCAAATAAAAAAGATCTTGAATCTGCAGACATTCTAGAGACAGAGGATCAAAGTATTGACACATTTAAAGATACAGCAGATGATAAAGCTCGTGAAACATCAGTCAAAGAAGATCTAGATACATTAGATGTGGAAGATCTTGAAGCATCTGATGATGGTCTTGAAGCATCTGATGAAGATCTTGAAGCTTCTGATGAACAACTTGAAGCATCTGATGAAGATCTTGAAGCATCTGATGAAGATCTTGAAGTATCTGATGAAGATCTTGAAGCATCTGATGATGGTCTTGAAGCATCTGATGAAGATCTTGAAGCATCTGATGAAGATCTTGAAGTATCTGATGAAGATCTTGAAGCATATGATGAAGATCTTGAAGTATCTGATGAGGAAAATCTGGAATCAGATAAAGACGATTTAGATTGGGATGCTGTTGAGAACCTAGAAAGGTTTTTAAAGAGCCCTGTCAAGACCGAAGAGAAATTTATAGAAATAAACAAATACACTTCTGAGATAATGGAGACTAAACTGAATGAACTCTCAAAAGAATTTTATGAGGAAATTGTTTTTACAATTTTTGACTTCCTATATTTTTCGGATACTCTTAATTTTGATATAGATTACCAAAATGAGGCTCTATCTAATTTTGAATTAGCTGCTCAGAAAGTAGCTCCGCTTTATAAAAGTTTGTCACTTTTTACAGATCAATACCTGGCATCATTTTATAATTTTACAAATAAGGATTTGTTCCAAGGAAACACATCAATTTTGTTTGCTGAAACTAATACGTTCATCCTTAATTACCATTATGCAGGCGAAGTGTTGAGAATCATTGAAATAAAGAACAATTCATTTTTATCTGCTCTCTCTGAACATTTGGGAGAAAGCTTTGTTGCATTGGACGGGTTTTACACAGAACTCTTGCAGATGATTGAAAGAGTTCAGAGAAACAAAGATCGCCAGTATTTGCATTATGAAGATTATGAGTATAGCAATGTTGAAAACCTTGAAGAAGAAATCGAAGAATATATCACGGAAGAGGATCTTGAAATTCAGGAGGTTGACAATGAAGTATACAATATGGCTTTTAATCCCAGAAAGTTATTATCTGTGGATGAAGAGACGTGTTCTAAAGATGATCCTGACTGCAATGCTGTTCATCACAACTCCTTTACAGAGAGTTTAAACAAAGATTCAAGCATAGACGAGCCTGGTGCAGAACAAACTAAATCTGAAAGTGATATTGAACATGAAGAGGAAAACAAAGATGAACATATTAATGATGAAATTACTGTTCAGTCTTCCCTCGTTGAGAGGTGCCAAAAATTTCAAATTGAAGTTAGTGCTTCTAAAAAAGTGCTGAAAAAGAAGCAGAAGAATCCTAAAAGCAAACGAGAAGAATTGGACAGACTAAGAACAGCTATGCAAGAGTTAAAAACTACAATGGGTTTACTTCAAACCTATCAAAAGCTAGCAATTGATATGACCAATGCTAATCAAAATGACAGGTCAAAAATGCAAACTTAAGCAAGAAACAAAAAAAATCATTTTGAGCAAACTTTTTTATTTGATTCTCTGGACATGGTACAAAATTAAATTTTAAAACAGAAAATATTTTTTGTAATTTAAATTTATTAGATGGGTTGGCAATCTTAGTCGGTTAATTTTGTATCATTTGATGTTTGGTTATTTTAAAAAAATTATGCTTTTTGAATTTTGCATTTTGTTCAAAGACAACTGTGCCAGACCGTACTGCAAGGTTCAATGGATCATATTTTAAATCTTCAGGAATTGAAATGAAATTTTAACCACAGTTGGGCTATTAACAGGCCTTGATTCCCTTTATTACCAATTGAACTTTCTAAAAATTGCCACCCCCCCCCCCCACTTTGGAAATTCCTAGCCACAAGCCTGGCTACTTATGACTATTATAGGATAAGGGTGTGGAAGAAATTCCACTACCATCCAAAACAATGCCTACTGACCTGCATAAATTTACCCTTATCTATAAACTTTTGATTTCAAATATTATCAGAAAAAGGCATCTGACTCTAATATTATGGATATGATGTCTTCTCTTCTAGGAAAGAAAAGCTAAAGTTTTTGGATCCAATCTCCCATCTTTTCAGTCATTCATAATAGATTTGAACTAATGGAACTAACATCATTTAAAGTTTGAAATTGTTGATAGAACTTTAAGCAAAATTTCAAGTGACCCTCCATGCAAAGATGTCTATGTCTGATTCACAACGGTACCTTTGAAACCTTTATTTAATTAATAATGTGATAGTTTTGTAGTTTTTCTTGGTTTGAAAGTGTTTAATTCTGATAATTCCTACATTTTTCTTATGCAATAGAATTGCGCAAGTCACTTTGTAGAGAAACGACAATTGGAAATAATCAGTTTTCAAAATTAAGAACATTAATGCATAATTCATGCTTGATTGTACAAAGCTTTTAAGGGTACCGTTGTGAATCAGACTTTTCCCTCTTTGCATGGAGGGAGACTTGAAATTACACTTATAGTCCCTTTTAAGAAATAGGCTTCTGATTTTTCTATGTACGAAGGAAGCACTGATCCTTATATCGTCAATTCTCTGAACGCTATGATGGAAGAAGAGATGGATGGTTTACTAGGGATGAATTAGTTGACAAGTCTAGAAGGAATAATTCGAAATTTTAGGAAAAATCGACAAAAAAAGCATTCATAACAAAATTCAGAAATCAAGCAAATTTATACAAGAACAAAAATAGTGATGAGTGAAAACCCAAATTCTCATAGAATATGTGAATTCTAAAGAACTCTTGAACTTCTCTGCAAGATTAAAATTTGGGAAGCGTGACAGATATCTTGTACATAGCATATTGTAAATATCAGCACTGTCGAGTGTACATGTATAAATTAAGTAAGAAATGTTAGATTGAAAGTGATAAGGTGGAGGAATAATGGTTCTCTCCCAAATGTCCAAATGTATTTTTTTTAAGTAACAATCTCAGGGGAACCAATTTTGTCAGGCTTCTAAGCCCGCCAAATTCAAAAAAGGGAAAATTTGTAAATTGGGAGGAACCCTAGGCTATTTTACAAATTTTTGAGCCTCAGCATATTGCCCAAATAGGACTTTTTGCTTTGTTCCTAGTAAAATTTAACCGCGTCTATTTGTTCTAAACTGCGAATTAAACGCTATTGCATTTCACGGGAAAATTATAGTTATATCGCATACAGATATATCGCTTATCGCATACAGATATATCGCATATTGCATACAGATATATCGCTTATTGCATACAGATATATCGCACATTCTGAACACTGCGATATAAATATAGCTACAAATCACAAAACAGGTTCATTGAAGGAAACAACATTCATTTTAAAGGAAGCAGCTATTTTACGCAAAATATCCAACTGTAATTTTCTGTTGAATGTTGTAGATATATCTATTGAAGCAATATCGTTTTCATGCAGTGATAACCATGGCCAGTAGCCATTGTTCATCTTTACTCCTAATGATGCAATTTTGTTTAATCCTTAAAGTTTTGGCTTTGCAACCGTAAAGTTTTAGCTTCGCAATCGAACCACACAGCCTTATTCTAAATTTTAAACAAATGCTATTTCAAAGGTATCCTTTGGGAGAGTTACCAACCGTTTTTAGTTTTTGGTTTCTGTCAAATTGCACTCAACATCTTAGCACACTAGTTTTTGTTCGCATGAGAATTGATCACTGAAGTTATTTTAATGTAATTGCCATCAAAATAATAAATTCAACAGCTTACTTCAGAAATGAGATGAAAAATGTGTTTCAAATCATTTTAATTAATTGAAAACAAAAACAAAATAGAATGGTTTTTTGGTTTAATAACATTATTTCAAAATTTGTTTCTGTTTTAAATTGATTGCGGAACAGGTTAATTTCTTGAAATGCTCAGGCAAAAAGTTTTGTTTTTCTGTCCTTTTTCATCGGTGGAAGGTGATGCGTCAAAAGATAATTTGGACCTTGATTTATTTTTATTTATAGATGTGCCCGCTGTTCCCTCTGAGGAGGAGGACTCCGATCTTCTTCCTAAATCCCCTGCACACGCTTTCCTACACAAGAGTATAGAGACACAACTAAACCTGGTGAGTTTAAGGGACTGGACACGATATTTCAAGTCACCCTTCATTTTCAAAATAGGGGCATGTACGATTTACAATGGTACCCTTAAAGGAAGAGACCGGCAATGTATGGTGGTTGAACTGAGATTGCAGTATAATTGTAGAGAAATATTTTAGGATTCATTTGAGACATATAAAACGTTTTTAAGATCTTCAATTACTGAGTTTGATCGCAAAGTCGACGTTCAAAATCGTACTTTTGGAAGGATACGTTTTCAGAATTTTTTTTTTTAATGATTAATTTACTACGACAAAAATGTAACAAAAATTTTACAGTAAACTAATTAGTTGTTCAGGAACAGGTTGAGAAAATAAAAAATAACTCTTAACATCGAAAATAAGTAATCTTATTCAATTATTAGTTTGTATAATCTTACATCATTCACAAAGATTTTCTGCAGGTTTTCTGGAATTTTTATTGAAAAGACGACATTTGAAGAATTTGTAGAAATCTGCCAACAAATTCATAGAAAATAAGAAATTCAATGTAATGATGAAAACGAAATAATTGATTCTAACATTGATTTATTGAAAAATTTCTTTTGACAAATATGTTCCTAAACCACCATACAATGCCAGTCACTCATTATAAAAGCTTTGTCTGATCTAAAGGGTTACCCACAAAGAATGAGACTTCAGAGACGACTGTACGGAATTTATACTGTCAGTTTTCTTATATTAATATTCCCTAGAATTCTTTCTTTGCCCAATCAATAAAAAGGCCATAAAAACTGTATTTACGGCGGAAGACTTAATTCGACCTTAGAATCGTCTTATTTAAAGTGTTGCAGGTCGTCTTTACTGTTTCATCCTTTGTGGGTCACTCCTGTATGCCGAGTCCATTAGCGCCTGATCCAATCAGGGTTCAGTCATGTGTTTGATGTCTATTCTGAACCAATAGAAATAGTACGGCGGTAACTTCTATCTTTCTATCGATCTCATCATCTAATTAGAGATTAATTCTTCAATTAACGCTATCAGTAAATGAAAATATTTACTTCTACTTGAACTATGGTGGGGTAACCCTGTATATTCATGTTAAACTCTTTTAAAATTCATTATTTTAAATTATGCTTTCTGTACAGAGCCAATTGGAGGAACTTAATAGAGTTGAACATTTTTTACTTGATACGACAATATCATTTACATTTTAGTAAGATAAAGGTATAATGGATAAAGTTGTGCATCGGTCAAGATTACAAATTACAAAATTTAAATCTTCTTAATAATCTTCCTATTCTAGTTAACATCAAACTTATTGATTATATTTTTATAATCTATCTATCTATCTATAAATATATATGGATATATGGATATATGGATATATTTATATATATATATATATATACATATATTTCTTTCTATCTATCTATCTATCTATATATATATATCTATAAATATATGGATATATTTGTTTTTAATCTTTGTGACAGAAACAATCTCAAGAACTGACGAGGGTCAACCCAGACCGAAATATATTTTCAATAAATGTGGAACTAATATCTACTTTTTTACTCTACAGAGGTTTGATTCATCACCATCACCGAATTTTAAATATATTTATATATATATATCTATATATATGTTTCTTTCTATCTATCTTTCTATCTATCTAGGATGAGTTGACTGAACCTGATGGTGAGATTATTAGCATTAAAACAGTTGGAAGTGAAATTATTTCTGAACAGATCAGAACTGTTAGTAATAAGGATGGATCGTCTAAAACCTTCAGAACAATTCAGAGGCATACAAACGGTAATTAAACAAAAAAAAAGTTTTAAGGGTCTGTGTCACGTTATTTTAAAATTCGAGAGTACCCTTTAAACCTTTGTCTGGGTAAATTCAGTCTGTATCACGTGACCAGTATACTGCACTGCCATTGGTGGATGCTTTTTATTGAATAAATGCAGCAAGAGATGAGAAAGGAAATTAGGAGAGAATTTTACATCTATTTAATTATGATAATTTCCTCATGATAACTTCCTCATGTAAGTTCCTCATGATAACTTCCTCATGCAACTTCCTCATGTAACTTCCTCATGATAACTTCCTCATGATAACTTCCTCATGATAACTTCCTCATGATAACTTCCTGATGATAACTTCCTCATGATACTTCCTCATGTAACTTCCTCATCATAACTTCCTCATCATAACTTCCTCATCATAACTTCCTCATCATAACTTCCTCATCATAACTTCCTCATCATAACTTCCTCATCATAACTTCTTCATGTAACTTCATCATGTAACTTCCTCATGATAACTTCCTCATGATAACTTTCTTATGATAACTTCCTCATGATAACTTCCTTATGACAACTTCCTCATGACAACTTCCTCATGACAACTTCCTCATGACAACTTCCTCATGATAACTTCCTCATGTAATTTCCTCATGATAACTTCCTTATGATAACTTCCTTGTTAGATAAAATCAAATCAGACTTTAAGGGACGTCCTACGACCACATAAACATTCTTGGAAGAACTACACTAATTTTTGAAGGAAACGTGGATTTACGATTAGAGGTCACTTGAAATTAATCCGACTGTCCCTTTAAATCGGTATCTTTTTTAACTTTACTGTCATCTAGAGGCGTAGTTAGGAGGGGCTATTGGGGCTTAGCACCTTCCCCCTAGAACTAGTAAAATCCTTGGATTTCAGGGTGTTTTTAGGCTCCAACGGCTGCTGAGCCTCCCCTAGAATGAAAAAAAATGTAAGCCCCCCCCCTGGACAAATTCCTGACTACGCTTCTACCGTCATTGAAAATATAATTGAAATTCCATTTAAAAAATACATTTGCTAGCAATACTTCCCACCATCCATTAAACCTTTGTATTAGTGTTTCTAATACAATATTGCACATATTTTTATGAGGGAGGGGGGGGAGGACTGTATAGTGTATATATTGTTGTTAACACAAATTTGAAATATAAGGAAGACGATTTTACTGACTCAAATGCCGTAGCCTTTACTCAAGACGTGTTTATCCATTTCCTCCATGTAACACCCACATGTCAAACCCCGCTCATCCGTTTCCCGCCTCACCCCTCTATAACACATCCCAGTTAGGTTTGGAGAGTTGAGCTGGTAACAGCTTCGACACAGGGAGCCTCTTGACTCCTTTATGATGATGACGCAGATACAGGGTGGCCAAAATGTACGGATTGTACGGATTGTACGGATTGATTTTTTTTTAACCCTAAAATTGTACGGATTGTACGGATTTGTTTTCAAATTGTACGGATTGTACGGATTTTTATCCTGGAAAATACACTTGAAGCTCTACATCACCCCCATGACTCCTTTATGATGATGACGCAGATACTCAGCGGGACGCTCCTGTTGATCTGCTCCACCAACATGAAGCTCTACATCACCCCCATGACTCCTCAAATATTCAACATTAATTTCTTTGTTAATTTCTAAACCAACCAATTTTAACCCATACTTGGGAAAATATGACATAGTGTAAGAACAGCAAAAGTTTAGGAAGAATAATTCTGAAAACATTTGCTTCTCTTACAATAGTTAAAATTCTGACCATCAAAGAAAATAATGTCAAAAATTTTGTAAAATGACGACCTATGTATATTTTAGATGATTTGAGCACTGTGGTTGGAGTAGGGACGGCAAAGTTGGTTGAAATCCCCCGAATCAAGAGTACTCAGGATACTCCTGATACTAAGGATACTCAGGATACTCCGGAGATAAAACAAGTATTCAGTCTAAATACAGAGGATCCTCTGGGAGAATTAGTTATTGATCATGAAGATGTACTTGAGGAGGAGGTGGTGGAGGAGGTAGTTCTATCTGACACTGATGAGAACATAACAGGGGAGAAGAAACCTTAGTTTTTATTCTCCACACTGCGTTTTTCCGGATCTGAAAACATCTTTTAATATTCGGAATATATAGCTTAGGCTTGGCAACATTCCGTTAATCAACGAAAGTTTTTAAACGGTGAATTCCGTTTACGATCGATAAAAACATCGTTATTAAACGTACGAATCCGTTTTATTTATTAAACTAAATGTTCACAAATGGATAAAGTAGAGTTTGTCCCATAAATCTAAAGATTAGGAAGTTGACTCTAAAACTCCAGCTACAATATTAATTAGTCCAATGAACATTAAACACGGCAAGTGTACTTGTACAGTGTACATAACCCATTACACTTGATAGGTTAGTTTTCAAGCTACTTGTAAAACTAATTGCTTTTGATAACTTCTAATAGGCATAAAATTACTTTAATGTCGTCTTCCTATTCCACTGTTTAAGGTCTCACTGTGCTAATGTGCCCAAGCCTAGCTATCATAGGATCTAATTGATTAATCAAACGCTAGAATTGATTAATTACCCGCTAGAGTTGATTAACCAACCGCTTGAATTGATAAGAATTGATAAATCAACCGCTAGAATTGATTAATCAAATGCTAGAATTGATTATTCAACCGATCGAATTGATTAATCAACCGATAGAATTGATTAATCAGCCACTAGAATTGATTAATCAACCTCTTGATTGATCAACCGCTAGAATGGATTAATCAACCGCTAGAATTGATAATTCAACCGCTAGAATTAATTAATCAACCGCTAGAATTATCCATCTTAAAGGGACTGTAGACGTAATTTCAAGTGACCCTTTATCGATAGACTGGCATAATTGTTAACAACGGTAACCTTAAAAGCTTTCTGTTGTCAAGCATGAATTAGATTTCCTTGTTTTTGTTTATAGATACTGATTATTTTCATTCGGTTCAAAAAAAATGATGATGTCTTTCGCATCATAGACCAGATTAAGATTTTGATGTGAATCAGACATGCTCCTTTCTAAATTTGAAATTATGTCTACAGTCCCCTTATGCTCCCTACAGCGCTCAAATTCATTCTGATCCCATCTAGGGTTTACAATTTTCAAACATTTTAAAATAAAATTTAAATTGTAAAAATTAATTTTTAGATAATTATCATTTATCCCGTCACTTATCCCGGTCTATGGATTCATCCAGATTATAGAATATTATTATTAATGTCATTTTATACAATTTTTACACAAGATTGAACCCCCCTTTGCAGTGGAACCTCAAATTTTGATTAAAAAAATATTAAGCTTTGTCACGTGTTTTTGATTTCGTTTTGATAATAAACCCTGTAAATAGATAGAACAAATGTATTGCATAAATTCAACGTTTGAATCACAATTTAGTTTGATTTTATTTTAATTATTATAAATTTGCAAGAAATCCTGGTTGGATTTTAGTAAGCGAGTTGTTTTCTTACATCGCTTAATAATGAAACCTAAAAATTTAGATAGAACATAAAGGGGAAAAAAACATTTTTTCAAATACTTGCATAAAACCCCCCAATTTGTAAAATTAGGAACACATTTTGTTCAAACTTACAGAAGACTGTTAAAACAAATTCTAACTTTTTTTTTAATTATCATATTATCATATATTATTGAACGGTTAGTTTTTTATTCCTTTGTTAAATGTGCGAAAAGTATTTAGCAAATCCTCGAAATTAACTATTTAACGGATTTTAATTATAATTTGTTTTGATCGCTCTGCTTTCAACATTTATTTTTTAGTAAATCTTCAATCATTGCATTTTAGCCAGTGTTTCTCCTTATTTTGATTTAGGATAAAAAATACCATATAAAAAAGAAATTGATACATTATTTTGTAGAAACTGGACAAGTTTATAATTAGCTTATTTATCGTTTATTTCGTAGTTTTCTCGATGTTATTTGTCAATTGAATTATGTTGAATATGATTTCATGGTTTTACCTCTTCTTTGTGCAATCTATAAATTTACTAAAACGATAAATTGTTATTACAGGGGCGTACATAGGGGAGTCCCCCCCCCGTACATGTAAAAAGGGGCTCAAGTCCCCCAGACTGATTTATTTATACGCCCCTGCATAAGAAAAATCCCATCATCCTTAAATTTGTTCACGTAAAACCAAGTCTAATTAAGCAATGTCTGCTGTTTGAATTATCTAGATTAAAAACTGTTTTATTTTGATAATTGATTGTGATAATATTATTTGAACTGGTTTTAAATAAAAATAAAGAAATTAATCATTTTTCCCGTACTTCTAAACTTTCTTTTGAAGACTGTTTATGTTTCGCGAGCTAATCAACCATCTCAAAATATCAAGATACTCCTAGAGTTATCGAACCTCATCATGATCTGCTAAGGTTGATTAGAACTTCTCATAAGCCTCAGACTCTTACAACTCAAATCTACTTCTTTTAGATCTTCCTCTCAAGAGTAACAGTGCTCTGGATATGAGATACACGGTTCAATTCAAAATAGATTGACCGAGATTATTTATTTAAAACAACAAATATATGTACAAGCAACAGCGAAATCAAATGTATATTGAATAATAAAAGATTTATCAGATCAAAATATACAAATTCATTAAACACGAGACTAAACAGTTCAGGTGTTTAAAAGCTACAGTATTTATGTACATAAATATGTACAGTCTTTCTCTATAGTGTGAGGACTAATAGAATCTAGAGATTGAGTTAGCCCATTGATAAAATATTTTTTGGGCTGATCCTTTCGTGAAGCGATGAGAGCAAGATAGATGTGAAGAATGGTTAGCGATTTTCTTAATTGCAAGGGAAATAAAAATATTTATTAAATTACAGTATGTGACAATGAATGATGTCATTATGTCTAAGTTTAAAACAGTAAATCATTTATAATGTACAACGTACTGCAAGTTTACAGAATATCATGTCTACACGCTTTTTGCTATAACAGTCCTAATTTCCATCTGTAAACTCCAGTTTTCATACTTTCTATTTGTAAACCTTAGTTCTTCTACTTTCTATCTGTAAACCTTAGTTCGTCTACTTTCTATCTGTAAACTCTAGTTTTCATACTCTCTTTCTGCAAACCTGAGTTCGTCTACTTTCTATCTGTTAACCTTAGTTCTTCTACTTTCTATCTGTAAACTCCAGTTTTCATACTCTCTATATGTAAACCTTAGTTCGTCTACTTTCTATTTGTAAACTCTAGTTCTCCTACTTTCTCTCTGTAAACTCCAGTTCTCCTACTTTCTATCTTTGAACTCTAGTTCTCCTACTTTCTATCTGTTAACTCCAGTTCTTCACTTTCGATCTGTAAACTCCAGTTCTCCTACTTTCTATCTGTAAACTCCATTTCTCCTACTTTCTATCTGTTAACTCCAGTTCTCCTACTTTCTATCTGTTAACTCCAGTTCTCCTACTTTCTATCTGTTAACTCCAGTTCTTCTACTTTCGATCTGTAAACTCCAGTTCTTTTACTTTCTATCTGTAAACTCCATTTCTTCTACTTTCTATCTGTAAACTCCAGTTCTCCTACTTTCTATCTGTAAACTCCAGTTCTCCTACTTTCTATATGTAAACTCCAGTTCTCCTACTTTCTATCTGTAAACTCCAGTTCTCCTACCTTCTATCTGTTAAATCCAGTTCTCCTACTTTCGATCTGTACGCTTCAGTTTTCACACTTTATATCTGTAAACTCCAGTTCTTCTACTTTCTATCTGTAAACTCCAGTTCTCCTACTTTCTATCTGTTAACTCCAGTTCTTCTACTTTCGATCTGTACACTCCAGTTCTCCAACTTTCTATCTGTAAACTCCAGTTCTCCTACTTTCTATCTGTTAACTCCAGTTCTTCTACTTTCTATCTGTAAACTCCAGTTCTCCTACTTTCTATCTGTTAACTCCAGTTCTTCTACTTTCGATCTGTAAACTCCAGTTCTTTAACTTTCTATCTGTAAACTCCAGTTCTTCTACTTTCTATCTGTAAACTCTAGTTCTCTTATTTTCTATCTGTAAACTCCAGTTCTCCTACTTTCTATCTGTAAACTCCAGTTCTCCTACTTAACTATCTGTAAACTTTAGTTAGCCCCTACTTTCTATCTGCAGTATGCTTCAGTTTTCACACTGTATATCTGTAATTTTAAAGGCATATTAGTATAAATAATAAGATAAGAAAACAATTTTAACGGGTATTTCAGTTCAGGTCATTTATTTAATTCTTTTTTCGTTGTGTTTTTCATCCCAATTGATGCTTTTAATTCATATCACAAATTTCCAAAGGGGTTCGAGCGGCAGCCCCCCCCCCCTTTAATCCGCCCCTACATTCATTTCATGGGAGACCCCCAGATTTTCATTTTCTCCGATGAAAATCTGGGGGTCTTTAATGAAATATTGGGGTCTCCAATGAAATTTAAAGGGACTCCAATGAAGATCTGATGGTCTCCAGTGGGGACACTCTGTATCTATCTACTTATGTAAATATCTTTCATTCGATTTATCTGTCTACCTATCAGGCTATCTTACTATAATCTATCTATCTATCTATCTATCTATCTATCTATCTATCTATCTATCTATCTATCTTTCTATCCATATATCCAGAAGCGCAACTAGTGGGGGGGGGACGGCCGGGCGCCCCCCCCCATTCAGAATGAAAAGAAAGATTGGCGAATATCATTATCACTGGAGCCAGGAATAATAGAACCAAAAGAGTTATTGTAGAAATTGTATTTTAAAAAAAATTTATCTTTCTGAATTCTCAAGGCTGAAGGGTTTATTGTAAACATTTAATGTAAAAAAGTTCCGAACTGTAATTCAAACTTAAGGAATTATTTTGGTAAAATATTCTAAGTTTGAAACATCAAAGGTTTACACCACTCGGTGCAAAGATTTAGCGATTAGGATATTTGAATTTGTGGCAAAAACTCAGTTCCAAATCTAGAGAACATTCTGAGACTGAACCTGGCAAACTTCTAACTCTTCTAACTGATTTTCATATTTGATAACTGTAACAATATTTGTGTAAAATCGAAAATGAAATAAGTTTATGAATAGTATGATCAATCATACATTCAATAACTTCAGGAGAAACAGTAACATTATCTGTCCTTTTTCAATGTTTAAATGATTAAAATTATATATGTATTTTGATGTTTTTTTTTTTCAGAATATATAAATGATTATTTCTTTTAAGTATATCGTAATTAAACAATGTATAACTGCAATTTTTTTTGGAGCTCCGCGCACACATTAAAAGAATTGATTGACTCATAACGTTAATCTTACAGTTGTTGAAAGTATATAACAAAAAACAATTGAAAGAAAACCGATTTGAATTGAACCACACTCCATATACTTCATATTCGAGCATTGCAAAAACTGAAAATTTCCTTTTTTCGACATCAAACCCTTAAAAAAGCATTTTTGTTTTAAAAAATTTTCTAACGGGGGGCAAAAGCCCCCTTTACCCCTCAGACCAATACAAAATAATATTTCCCCGAATCAGGCGCGTACGAGGGCATTTGTCTAGGGGGGGGGGTTTAAAATATGCTCAAGCCATAAACTGGAAGTAGGTTTGAAAAATGATTTATTTTCGCATCGACAAGAAAAAAATCAGGACACATTCTAATACTTGGACAGTTTGTAAAACAACATAGTTTTTGGTAAATAAATATTACTTAATTGATTCTATTTAGACTCGATTAGAATCAGACTTATGAATTTTTAATGTCTTCCCTATATCACTTAGAAGCAACGAGGTTATAGTGTTTAGAGTGATGATGTACGCTAATCCTTTACTAATTGTATAAGCCATGAACTATAACGAGAGCGTACTGCATATTTGTTTATTATAAAGAGATTCTGGCCTAACTTATAGTATATCATTATTGGTGAACAGTTGTAAGTGTTCAGTACAGCTAACTGAGCACACAGGTAGGAAACTATCATCCCCCTGTTTAGAAATTAGAACCCAAAATGCCAAGCCAAATTATACTGCAATTGTTAAAATAACCTTTTTTAATTATAACTTTCATCTTCTGTTCACCTGTAATATTTAAATGAATTACCTGCTATTTTTAGATATGGCCGTCAACATCGTTAATTTTTACCAACGTCACCATGTAGTATAGTAACTGTTTTATTATGCATTGTGTTTATATCATGTATTCACCACACCTTTGCGCTATTTTAAAGCATATACGTGGAAGGAATGGACTGTGTTCTCTCTGCTGATCAATTAAAACTGAACAATGTTGGTTGCAAAGTGTGTGATGCAGTATTATTTACAAATCATTCCTAATTTAACATTAGATAATGCGTAAATTACAGTTTTTTGGCAAAAAATTTCCCAACCCTATTTTTTGCAACCCAATGTGGTAGATTTTCGATATTTTTAATTATGAATACTGTTAGATCCAATAATCTAAGTCTGAAATTTCAACGGTTAATATAATCCGATTGAAGAGAAAATGTGAGTCTGTGGCAAAACTCAGTTCTTT